GGAAAAGTCAAATAAACCGAGTCTCTTCTTTGTAGTCTGCGGCGTTCTATGGAGATGCCTAAGCCGGCATAATCGACCCCCCTACGAAGAATGTTCGGCCTTCAAAAACAGAGAAGGAACGCGGCCGACGGTGGCGCATGGTTCATAGCGGGCCATTTAACGGTCTTTGCGAAATTGAGTCATCACGCGGTTCCCCTGGAATCTCGAATATTTTCCTCCCGATGCTTCAGCTTCTCCGTACCACCTCTCCTCTCCCTCCCCCCTTGCCACCCCCGCCCCCTCTCTCCACCCTCTCTCGTCTAGTCGTACCCCCTACTACAGACTCTCGCACATCTCTCCTCCCTCTTACGTTACTATCCGACGAAGGTAGCGTACTCTCGTAGATCCTCGTCGTCGCGATCCTTCGCCGCGATCTCCTCGCAAACTTCCTGCGGCAGATTCGCAGCGGAAGCGAGCGAATTTCGAATTTCCGTAACCGAGAAAGTCCCCAAATTTGGGGACGCGGGATTCGCGTCCGCGAGACGTTGCCCGAATTCTTCTGCCCACCTTAGTACCGTATATTCCTCTCATAACTTCTGCGAGGAAGGATAGAAACGTAAAGTGTCCATTACGTATTTTCGACTCGTGAAATATTACGAAATTTATTTAATTAAAATGCGTTTACGTTTGTATATGAATTATTTTTATTTTATATCCGAAGGGGGAAGTCTTGTTCTCTTTTTTTTTTTTTTTCAATTTATAATTCTTCGTAGTATCACAGGCCCACAAAAAAAGAGTATTCTGAGGTGGAGACTCGGCTATTCTTATGTATTTTGAGCCGCTGAATACGAATCTGATCGTCAAAATAGGATCATCAAGGGCAAATTTTTAATCTAGAGCGAAAAAAATGGGTGAAAAATGGGAAAAAATGAGTCAGATTTTCGCTCTAGATTGAAAATTTATCCAGGATGATTCTGTTTTGATGATCAGATTCGTATTCAGCGGCTCAAAATAAGAATAGCTGGGTCTGTTATTAGTAATTTGAATGATATCTGTCAGTGTGATAGAAATGGTGCACTGTTTGTTTGTTATAAGGTATATTGAGCTGGAAAATGTATTTCACCGTAGTCTGCGTATTCTGTATTTGTAGCTTTTGTAGGAATCATTACGATCGACTCGTCAGCACCGCGAGAGGACATTGATTGCACATTTATATTACAAACAACGTCTGCATCCTTGAGCGAATTTCTTGAGCGGCAACAATATTTGTCTGGACAATTTGTAGAGTCCGGGACGAAGACGAATGCCCGTAATTTATGAGTTGCGATTTGCAATGCAAAAAAGAGTGGCGGATGGAGATTCGGCGTTGTCGTTTCGTTTCGTCTTCTCGACGTTCGTGTTTATCCTCGACATATTGCGTCGCTCGAGTAACGATGAATCATTTAGCGAGCCGTGTTCGCCACTACCGACTCTTAATCGAGTCTTTCCGTAGGAAGCAAGACGGTAATCTCTCTCCGAAACTTTCCTCGCGAAACTTGGAGATTTATCGGGGAAATAATTTATTTGCCCTACGGCAAGAACGGCGGGCGGGTTGTGTCGCGTTCGTGCCAGGACGTTTGCGATTTTCATCCCTCTTCGCTCCTCGCCAAAATGCTTTGATAGTTCAATATGAATCTGCAATTAATCCCGTGTCAGCAGCGTGCGCATTTAAAAGAGAAATATTTGATTTAACATTCCTGTAATCCCTGAAATGATGCAAATATTCTATTCTCTCAATATTCTGCGTAATTAATACGTAATTTCGAACTTTTACAACACGACGTACAGAATAGACGGTGTAAAAAACGTGCGATTGTTAATCGAGCGCGTGTCTGCGAAAACAGAATTCAAATCGGCTGCGACATCGAAGTTCACAACTTCCCACGCTGTTGTTAAAATTCTAGACGTTCGGCTCGTCACGCGTTTATCCGTTGGGATCGAAGTACTCCGGCGTGATTCTGCTTACCGTACGGTTAAATGTTATTTCAATTACGACACGTTTGATGTCGTCTGGCGCCGGTTTTACGGTCACCGGTAACCGTAAAACCTTAACGGCTGTGAAATCTAAGCGGCGATAAGGTGGCGCGTAGAAATGCCGTTTACACGGTCCAATCGGCCGGAAATCAATTCATCGAAGAACTCCCCCGCGCTCGACCACAACGACAACTCCTTTGTTTCGTCGAACGGTTACGTTGCATTTGTCATCACATATTGACCATTCAATGAAGTGTTCAATGCGTAGCGTTTGTAGCGGCGGTTAACATAATAGCAATTCTCTCTACGGCACGCGGCTGCGAACTCCGATCCGAGAGGAAAACGGCTTGGAAGAAGTCTTTTTTTTTTTTAGGATAGGATTCTGCTTTAAAGCATTGTATATTTTATGAAAATAGCTGGAAGATTAAATAATTTTAATAATGTAATATCTATAATATTTTCACGAGCGCACGTAAAAATGCAAAATTATCGGAATTTGAGTCTGTTGTTAAATTTAGAAAGCAATAAATTGAACAAATCTTTTGATACTGCTTCTTCAAAGAAGGTATACGTAGAAAATTAATATCAATGTAGATACAATAATAATAATTCGTCGAAATTCAATAACGGTGTCTCATTGAAAAATCTACATCTCTCTTTCCTTTCCCTCATACTTTTAACACGTCAGCGCGCTCTACGCTAACGATAGTCGAACATTTGGAAAATTATTCTTCATATTCTACATTGAGATTTTGATCGCCGCAGTTTGATGCTATATTTTTCATTGCTTCCGATCAACAGAAAAACAAAACATTCCACTCCCGCTCATCTCTCTCTCTCTCTCTCTCTCTCTCTCTCTCTCTCTCTCTCTCTCTCTC